ACACACACACAAACACACACACACACACACACACACACACACATACACATACACACACACACACAAACAAAAACATACTCAGAAAGAGACAGAAATGAAAAGGCAGGAGCTTTAAAGCTTTGGTCGGGATTTGGATCCAATAAGCCATGCAGGGGATTAACCATGTTAATGCAATGCCTACACAAACTGGACACAGTGTACACACACACACACACACACACACACACACACACACACACACATACACACACACACACAGAGAGAGCATGTCAGAAGTATGAAATGAATAAGCCTTTTATGGTTGTATTCAAATATGGTAATACACATCATTGTTGTTCTGAGGCAGCTTCTACACAATACCACACCAGCAGTGTATTTGTAGGTACTTTAACTGTACTCTGATCTGCACAAGTAAGTGAAAGTGTCCTTCTAGGGTGAGGTTCTTCTACCTGGAGTTCCTACTTCTCTAAAACGGATCAACTCTCCGTTACAGAGTTTATGTAGCACCTGCTACCCTTCACAGAAACATGTCGGTATCAAATGACTCAATGTTCCAGGATAGGGCCAAATTACTCTGAGTTCAAATTAAGCATAGCATTTTATAATTAACATTTCTCCAGCTGGTGTCAGTACTTTTTAAATGTTTTGTCCATGGTGTTTTCTCTAGAGAAAAGTTTCATAAAAGTTTCTTGCTTGAGGAGGAGTTTTGCTGAAACTTTATTAGAACCAATTAAAGAAACAAAGAGTTCACATGAGAGAAAGGCAAGATTCATCAACCGCTCTTTAGAATAAGAGGAGCAATTTTGTAGAAACTCTTACATTGTATTGAAAATATTATTGTCCCTATTGAGTCAAATATGTTTTTACGACAACACTGTACTGACAGTTCTGCAAAAAAATCAGTGTTACCAGCCTGCACACAGATACGCTTTATTGTGCCACAGTACTACTTATCCCAATACTAACAGTTCCCAGTTCCAGTCTAAGTAATGCAACAGTCTTTAATTGATTGGGTCTATTATTTTGTGATCATGTGCATTGCAAATAATGATTTTTATGATATTTAGCTTTTTTTTTTTTTGGATCAGAATCACAGTGGCAGCCCGACCTCATCACTAACATTGTAAATCAATAAACACCGGTAATTGTTGTTGAACATTACCCGGAGTGATCAACTGTTCAAATGAATTCCTTTTGTTGTGTGCTTAAACTGAATCAGAACAGTCAATATCAAAGCAAAAGATAAATTTATCCTGAATAAAACACACCACATAGACTCTCAGGAGGGGAATAAAAGAGGAAATTGGTTGATGGCTGAATGATGCCAATGGGATCAGAGCTTTTGGGACAGCCAGCCTCGCTGACATTTACGGATGAATAGTTGTGAACAGATTCACCAAATGTACTATAATGACATCTTGTTAGAGATGTGAATGCCCCCCAGTAGTCAGAGCTAAGTGCAGGAGTTTCTCGGAAGAGGAAAACTAATAAAGCGTGCATGTTGACAGTAACCTCGCCTCAGTTTAAAAGCACTAATATTTTAAGAGCTTAAGTAAAGAAGCTTCTCCTGCATAATTACAAACACACCTTTAGCCCTGACTGTTTGGTCCGCAGACTTAAATTCTTTACATAAACAACCCAAGATAAATACACACACTTACTTTAAGACAGCATAATAAGCATGTTAGGTTTAAATGATTATAATCATATGATTTTCAAATTCACAATCAGAACTCAGAATATACACCTTTTTAAACTGTAACTTCTCAAGGCTATTTATTTGTCTAACATTTACATAAAAACACGATATTAACAGCAGTAAATAACAAGTATAATGCTGGTTTAACTCCTCTGAGAGCACTGAAGTGTGCTCAGAGAGGCACTTTAAGTGTCCTTGTATGTTAACAAAAGACTTTTGTTTTGTTGCATTACTCAGAGGAAAGGCATTTGTTAATTTTGTCTTAGCAGATTTAACTGAGAGGGTCTTGCAACGGCTTGTTATGTTTGTTTTAATTTTGTTAGAATAGTTATCATCGGTACAATACTGAATCTAAACTGGACAACAGCTTTCTGAGTCTTGAGAGAGGGGCCGCTAGGGTTGCCAACTTTTTCTGTAGCAAATAAGGACACAGGACATGTTTTGTTTGGTGCCACAGCGGTGTGGGTATGATGTATGAATGTAGTGTATACGCAGGTCAGCTGTATACTGTATTATAATTATTTTAGTTTATATTAATAAACCTCCTGTGTTCCCCGAAAAAGAACCCCACAACTGACAAATGATGCCACAGACCTCCATCTGAGAATGATTGTAGATATTTCTATGACAGAAAGTGAATGAGACCCTGACCAAAAGAGTCCCATTCTGCCATTGTGTCATCACTTAAAGATAACTTTAGGCTATTGTAGTGGAAACCAATTATTACACTGTTAACTTGGGACCCTTTGTCACCCCATTATAGACCTCTGACAGTCCCTGGACTCCTCCAACAGCTCAGACTTTAACATAAATGATGAGATGAATCACAGGTTGGAGCCTTTTCAATAAGAATAGCAACAAAAAAAAGGTTTCCAAAAGAGAGGCATGACTCACTGAGGTCCCTTTGTCATGGCTATTTTTTACTGCCCTTGACAACTTCATGAAAGATTCTGTCACAGAAATGCACCAAAAGACCTTTTGATAGCCTGCCTTCGTGTGCATCTCTGTAGCAACATGCTATGTTAGGCTCACCTCTGTCTCCTATTGAAACTTCCAGAAGGCATAACGAGCTATAGATCCACATCTTCTTTGCTTTCTTTTGCTTGCTGTTGCTGCAAAATCGTTTTCTTCTTTTAGCCAGTGTATGTGTATTTTTTAAAAACACTTGTGCGCCACAAGGCAGCTGAAGCACACCATCCATGAACAACTCTTATTTTAGCACTTTTGAGGCTGTATTAGCTATCTGATGCACGGGGGAGGGGCTGTGATTGGAAAACAGGTGTCACTTGATGGACATGATCATGTTGGCCTATTGGCTGTGTCTGATGAACTGATCTAGAGTCAGTAAAGTGTCCACTAGTTATAGAAGTTGTGTCTATAAGGGACATGGGGCAATAAATCAATCTAGTTCAAAATACTGGATGTCCCGGCTAACATGTGGCGATTGGACACCCTACAGTATGAAAACAGAAAGGAGAGAAAGTTCCAGCCACACTGCCACCAAATGGCTAACAGATTTAGAGGTAATTTTAATATTACTTTTGTATTTATATCAAATATGTTTTTTCCCTCTACATTATTTTAGCAGGCTGTGAGATAACGGTTGCTATTGTGAAGTTAGCTGTAGACACCGTTTGACCGGATCACGTGTGTTCCCGACTCGGCCCATCCCTGATATGTACAGTCTATGGTCCATACGGATCAACTTTTTACTTTCTTAAAAGTAAAAAGGTGCGCATGGTGGCTGGCGCTCCAGTGTGTGGTTGCACGTTTGTGCAGCAATGTAATGTTGGTGTAGCTCAGCGTGCCCGGGTCACGATGCTCCAGGAGCAGGGAGAAGTAGCTGCAGCTACATCAAATGCGCTCATAGCACTCTCTCTCTCTCTCTCTCTCTCTCTCTCTCTCTCTCTCTCTCTCGTGCACGCAGCAATTTTATGAATACAAGAAATTAATGAGTGGCGGTCCTTGTCAATAATGTGGCGGCCCGCCATGGATTATCAATGTATGGGAAACACTGCATCAGACGTCCTGCCCCTTCTTGATTTTGATTGGTTGAGACGGAGAAATTACATTAATAAGTGTACCTAAAGTTTCCGTGACAAAACACAGCTTATACTGTCGGTGTTTTTAGAGGTTAGGATGCTGAGAGCAGAAAACATGAACTGCATTGCCTTGAAAACGGGTGCAAACATTGGGGTTGGTGGACACAGTACCTAAAAGTGCTCAGATACTTGTCCATGATTGATTGATTTCTACAAGCCACCTTTCTTTAAGTTGATATTGATCCAATCAATATCCCAGAATGCTAAGAAAAGGTTGACTTTCGACATTTCTCACTTTAAGGTTTTAAGTCGACTCTGGATTGATGAATGGATCACTGTTTTGTAAGAGCTCCGAGCTGCTCAGTGGAGCAAAAAATCACTAATGTCACACCTGCAGAAAGAGTATTGATCTATTTCTTTGAACACAAAAATCAAGGAGGTACTTTGGGTGTCACTTTATAATTTTTAGTAACAAGGTACAAAGTCACAGCTCCTCCTATCTCTTGTTCCCCTTGTTTATCACATAACTTCCCTTTTCTCAAGGGAAGACAGAATTTAAGGGATTTTTTTTTGCTTGCATCTGTTAAGCCTGCTCTTTTGCGAGGGTTTTCTAATCCTCAACATAAGCAGCAGTTTGCTCCTATGGATGGTATCAGGGGAAGGTTTAGCTCAGAGTGAAATTAATCCAGTGTGAAATCAAAGAGCCCACTGTTGTACCTCAGGGAAGCCCACAGAGGACACTCACAGTGCAGAGCATGGCGGCCATGTTCCATCAGTGCTCTGTGGGCAACACTGTGCGTGCATCTGCGTGACAAAACATGCCCTTTTATCCATGAAATGACACAACAATGGCCAACTGCTACATTCAAACTATTAACCATCAGAAAACAACGACATTTCTATTCTGATCAGTTTTTGGCCTCAGCAAAACAAAAACCCTCAGATTTATTATCCACACAAAGGACAAGTTCTTCCTCCCACAGCTTCAGACTTTTTCACTTTGACAGCTGCGTTCGGACTATCCGCCTTGAGGATCTGCCAGACAAGGTCAAGGCATGCTGTCTTTCTGCAGCCCATTAGCTGATCCTCCTGGAGGTTCAGCCGCATCTTTATATCCAGCAAGACATCAAGCAGGCCACTGTCTCATTAGCCCGGTGTTTCCAGCCCCCTTCAACAACCGGGTGGAAAAAGTTAACAAAGGCATTAAAGAATACATCACAGTCCTGGGGGTGGGAGGAAAAAGTCCACATGTACTGTACCTTATTGGACGGCTGAGGAGTTTTCTTCTTAAGGTCAGAAAACAGCCGGCTCCAAGAGGAAGAAATCCTGTAACACAAACACAGACAGAAGTCAGCTTCAACAAACACAACAAACTGCACACATTGATCCTACAATGAACATGTAATGCAGAAAAAAAAAAGTCTTCCATAAAGCTCTGACTGATTTGTAAAACTGAACATAATTACAGCACTTTCCTAATATGTGTCATTCTCTTCAAAACTGCTTATTATCTGGAAAACTTTTTCTGTTATTATGAAATCAATTAGCTTTTGTGAGATAGGCAAACGGGCACATCGTGAGATAAAGTGTTTTAATTACAAGCTAAAGATTAGATTAGGAAAATGCTTCCTGAGGCTGTAAAACTCTACGATACAATACAATTAATTAGCAGGAAGGGTTTTTTCCACTTACATAATATGACTTTCAGATGTAATTCACTTACAGTTTTTTTTTGTTACAACCAATAGCCCTCTTTTTGTTTGTTGATTTAAATGCATTCATACCCTGAGGACAAACAGAATGCTGCGAACAAACTTTACTAAGAGAAGCTGGTGTCTCCAAAAACACTTTAAAAATAGAAACATTTCATGGTGATACATCAGAGCATTTTAGCAGTAAAACATCCAAGAGACAGCACACATGATGCTGCTGTCGTTAAATATCATAGGATACATCCACTGCAGCCTGGTGTGACGCAAAAGACTATTTCTAGTGACAAATGTCAGGGTGACACACAGAAAGATCAAACCATTCATTCCCTGAGGAAGGACAACTGTGATTCACTTATACATTCTGCAGTGTCACATAAATCCTCTGCTATTTAAAAGCTGTTCTCAGAATCTATGTGTAGTCCTCTTTCTGGTCTGTTCACACCTGGATGACTTCACTGATCAGTTTGATTCAGGGTTGCTGAAGTTGACTGGGCAATCATAAATCTTCTACCCAATCTGGCCAAAACACTCGTCAGATTACATCAAAGAAGAAGACTAGAGAGGAAGTGAGGCTTCATTTGTATTTTAGAAAAAGGTGAATCATTATTACTGGGTAAGAGAAATTCTATTAAATGGCATGAAAAGCTTTTTATATTGACTTTTATTCATCCATTGGACTTGGAAGTTTTCTGTTCTCTTCATATACCAAACTGTGTAGATTTAATGAGTAGCAGATTGAATGTGGCTCCTGAACAGCCCTCTATTGTAACATGAATAATCAATTATTAAGCAGATCGTATACATCATCTTAATTAAGTACAAACAAGCATGAATGCCTTGGGCAAATTAAAAAATTAAAATTAAAATTGTGATTTACTACAAAACAGCTGTAAATGAGTTGAGCCGCAATGAGCCCTTAACAATCCAAAATGTCAAGGATACTCTTTTTAAATTGAGTTGTTATTGTTACTCGCTGTATGATGATTTTTACTGAGTCCAAACAAGCTTATCAGGGTGTCTGACCCAGTTGACCTTTTGTTTTGTTTTTTAATTCTACTCAATAGAAAGAGGTCTATTTTTTGTTATCTCCACATGGTGAACTGCAGTGACGATAACTGGATGCTTATTGGATTGGAGCCACCAATCCCTGAATGATCGGTGACCTTTAGTGACCGCAGCTTGAACTCAGATTGATTAGAGAATACGTGAATTCTCTGGTGGGGCTTTTAAGGCTCTTATGCAGGCTAAATATGTGACCTCATACAGCCCTAGCATCACTGTGAGGTTCAGGTTTACGTTTCATTAGCCTTTTTGTTATCCATGTTTGTGTTTTCATTCTGATAACTTTGCATGCGTGTAAATTGTTTAAAGGGTACCAATTACTCCTGAATGTCTTTTTAAGGATCTGAATATGTGTTTTTGGTTCAGATCTCTTCGAGAAATTATATTAAAGCTCTCTGTTTATTTGTGAGAAGTTCTCATTAAAAGCAAACACAACGATGTATCTGTTGGGACACAAAGTGGCGCCTGAAGCATCATTTGCATGGAGCCTGCAGCCATAACTGAATGTGTGTGTTGTATTCATGAGAGTGGAGCAGTAATGAGGCTTATTTTCACAGAGTGATATTAAAAAACAGCATAAAGTAAAAAAACATCAACATCTTAAAAAAATATAAAGAAGTGGACTTTCACTGTGCTTTACATTAAAGGTGCTCCTGTGAAGTGTTGGACCACTAGAGGTCCAGTGACACAATGTTCACTACACTGATTTTAAACGGTGAAGGCTTTTGTTGCTTTCAACCCGTTGGGGATTTTTAAGTATTTGAGTACTTTTATGAACACATTTCAGAGTTATTAACTTTCTGAAAAGGAGGCGCTGGTTTGCCAACATGATATTTCTGCTATTGTCAGTTGCATTGAACTCCGAATAAGCACTGCTCAGGTGCCAGTAGAAATAATTATGTTGTTGGCACATTGAAACCCCTTAGTTTAATCATTCACAATTGTATCTTGTAATTTAGCTCAAAAAATGCCAACACCCCACAGGAGCCTCATACTTTTTTACCATCACTATTTTTGTGAGGAGACTGACATTCTCTTTATCGCACAAGAGAGATGCATACACTGCTTTGATATTAACACAGGTAGAAATGATGAGAACACTTTATTCACTGTATCGATTTATCCAAACCAGCATCCTGCCATCAGTCAAGTTGGATCCAGTGACGTTGATTGATAATATTAAAGGGTACCAGCTACTGCTTGGATCTGTTATTTTTGTTATCTTGAAGCCTGAAGTCCTAAACGAGCACTCGGGTTCTCAAACCAACTAAACTTTGCACCAACTTTGTGCTTCAGGTTCCTACTGAAGATCTTCTTAAAGCTAGTTTCTGTCTTTTTTATTCACTAAATACGATTCCTTTTTAGACACATTCATTTTGTTTTAAATACTTAAAGGGATACTTCACCCATTTGCTTTAAGCTTTGTATCATTAGAAACCTGGTAGTATTTTTGAATGTTCGTGCATCCCACCCTCATTTTCCCCTGAGATGTGAAATCTTTGTATTTCTGAATCTGAAAAGGAGCTTCCAGTGACGCAAAGATCTTCATTTTGCGTCACTGAAAGCTGTTGTGGTTAGCAGGGTGAAACTACAACGCTAGTTCCTCATATTTTCGACCACTGAAGCTACAGACCAATCACAGATCAGTGGGTGGGAACTCACTCCCAGAATCGATAATTAACTTAAAGCCGGGGCCGCCGCTCGCCGCTGCTCGCCGCCGCAGCCGAGATACAAGGGAGTGGCCTGCGGTGCTTTGCATTCTGGGATTTGGTGTCTTTCATGCACATGAGCCAAAAATACACTTTCTGCCTTTTCTCGGCTAAGAAGGCACCAACTTCAAAATGTATTTCACATTTCTATATATGACCCAATGTCAATACAGATTCATGTTTCAACGGGTGAAGTATCCCTTTAATTCATTGAATTTTGTGTTGATCAGGGAAGTACTCTCAAAAAGAGGAGTCTGTAGAGTCCACTTTATGCTTTTCTTTTTTCTGTTGTTTTATAGTTTGTTTGTATGGTTAAGAATAAGAAGAGATTGGTACATGACTTACTGACATTCTTTGGTCATTTGGATATTATTGACGAACCAATTTGTAATCGAGGTACATAATGTTGATGCTGCGAAAACTCACAATAATGTTAAATGGGGGAAATATGTAACTCTGACTTTTATCATTTAAAATGGGTACTACAGTCCAAATTCAAAACATTAAAAAGAGCTGTCCCCCCTGCCCGTCCTTCCTAGATTTGATGTGCACACAGGTTGCCATTTCACTGACATGGAAGCTTCAGTGTTTATCCAGCTCAGCGTCCGCCTTGAAACGTTTCTGATTTCTAACCTCTCTCCACTTTTCAAAAGCATCTCCTGTATTCATCCTAGTTTTACCATGTTTATGGAGCTTATTTGCAAAATGCCAAGGCTTTTTAGTTTGGGTTCAATCAATTATGTTGTCATGTCCAGCTCAGTGTCTTAGGTTGTTTTTATTTCTATCTTGTTTTATTTTTTGTTTTGGGTCACTAATTTCTCCTCTCGTTTCAGATCCGTCACTTCCCGCCCTCATGTGTTTCCCACCTGTGTGATTGTCTGCCCCGCCCTGATTGTTCCCAGCTGCATCTCGTTGTCTTCCCCCTCACCCTACTATTTAGTCTGTAGCTTCCCTTCCTTCTGTGCCAGTTTGTCTTCGACCCCTGTGAGAAGCGTTCAAGCCTTTTGTTTCCACTTTGATCACTTTTTTGGATTGTATCTTCTTCAAGAGTAAAGACTGTTTTTTCCCCCCATCAAAGACTGCGTTGTGAGTCGTGCTTTTGGGTTCAGTTACCTGTGGTGTTGTGACATATGTATGAACCAGTTTTATGATTTAATTCAGTAAATATCTCACAACCAGGTCTTAAAGCATTTGAATGCACTGTTATGCCGGATGTATCAACAAAACCCCAATATCCATTTTAAACACAGAGCTAGTAAGTGTTTATACAAGCTCATTTAGTTTTTTTCAGTTAGCTACATTGCAATACATTTTGATAATTGCCAACTCTAAGATATGTTTGTGGTACTTTCTGTCTCAATTGAATCATTTTAATATCTCAGTTTTTTTTTTTCTTGGTTAAGTTTGTAATTAATAAAATTGTGGATGAAGGCTTTGCTTGTGTTTTACGCGGTAGGAAAGCCATTCACCATGATGGTGTTCAGAGGAAAAAAGCCTTTTCAATGTGTTTTGATGGGGATCTGTTTTTGAAGTCTACATGGTACCTTTAAGTGAAGGGCGATACGCTGCAAAAGGATTCTTTTTAAGTAACAGGGAATCAATAACTCTCTCTGCTAATACTGTATTGATCCTGGAAAGTGCACATATCTTGTATTTGTCTTCTGAATTTGGGTCCTTTTCAAACTCTGCTGCTTTTAGGGTCATCCGAGGACAAACCCCCTCTCTTCTGACTGAGCAGCGTTTAGTGATGAGAGACCCTTACAGCACAGTTTGACTGCAGGCCTGCTTTTCCAGTGAAATAGCTAAACCCTTCATTTTGGCTCATAAAACACTAGCCTTGTGC